GCCCGCCCCAGCCCCGGCCCCGGCACCGCGTCCGCCCTCGACCCCCCGGAGCCAGGCGGTAAGTGCGGGCCACGGCGGCGCCGGGCCAGGGGGGTCGAGGGCGGACGCGGTGCCGGGGCCGGGGCTGGGGCGGGCCGAGGCCTGCGCGGGCGGCGCCCGGGGCGAGGGCCGGGGCCTGCGCGGGCGAGCGGCGTGGCATGGCGTGGCGTGGCGTGGCGTGACGCCCTCCCCGCGGCCGGCGGGCGGGCTCGGCGCGTGGCCTCCTCCCAACTTGTCCGAGGCGGCCCGAGCCGCGCGCGCGGGTTCTCCCTGCGGGGCCTAGGTAGCCCCATTCGCGGAGCGGGCGCGCAGGACATCCGCGCCCATTATACGGATGGGCAAACCGAGTCGCCCCGGTGAGGCCGTTGAGTGGCTGGGCGCGCCTGGCCTGGGGTCAGAAAGTCCAGCCCCAGCCTCTGACTAGCTGTGTGACCCCGGGCCAGCCTCCGAACCGCGCTGTGCCTTGGTTTCCTCGTCTGTAAAATGGGGGACACCCTAATACTTGCCTCCCTAGCAGTGTGGCCCTGGGTAAGTCAGTCACCCGACCTCAGCCTCAGTTTCTTCCTAGGTGGTATGGGCACGATAATAACCGGGGCGGGGGTGACAAACCTTAAAGCCCGGAGGGTTAGCAGTTGCTGGTATCGTTGATAAGGATAATAAAGCGACTTGCCCCGGGTAGCAAAGATGGCTTGCGGTGGTAGCAGTGTTGAAGGCCAGGTCCTGCGACGCCGAGGCCGCGATGCTTTCGGGGCTGCCTCCTGGATAGGTAGAGAGCTCGGCAAACCTCGCAACCTTATGTAGACGTGCCCTGACGTTGTTAGTGTTGTCATCGTCCTCATCATCCGGTCACCATCCTCGGGCCCCTCTCGGTGGGACAATGCATTAATTAGACTGAGTCCCGAGGCCTGGCCCTCTCCCGCCTTGTGGGCTCGGGGCTTTAGACGACTGATTTGTCCAGAAGCCTTTCCTAAGGGTTGCTTCCTGTGTGGCAGCCCGGGAGCAAAAAAAAAAAAAAAAAAAAAAAAAATCCAGTCTCTGCCCTCTAGGAACTCAAGGGTCTATGGGGAGATGGTTCCGAAATAACTATGTATCCAGAAGATAGATACAATGTAAATGCGAGGGAATCTTCAAGGGAAGGCACTCGGGGGACGGACTAGCAAAGGCCTCTGCCGTAAGGTGGATTTGTGAGCTGTGTCTAAGGAAGAACAGGGAGGCCAGGAGGCAGAGGTGAGGAAGGGAAAGCATTCCCGGCATGAGGAACAGCGGATGCAAAGGCATGGAGTCAGGAGATGTTCTGTGAAGAATGGAAAGTAGGCCAGGGTCTCTGGATCATAGAATGTTTGGAGGGGAGTAAGCCATAGAAGTGGCCAGCTCACTTAGGGTTTTAAATGCCAAACAGAGGAATTGATATTTTATCCTGGAAGTAATAGGGAGCCATCTGAGGTTAACAGCTGGATTTTATGGAATGCCCTTAGGAAGATTACTTTGACAGCTGAGTGAAGGATGAATTAGAGTGGGGAGAGATGAGCCCAGGAGACCCATCAGACCCATCATTGGAAGTAGCTCCCCTTTCTGGGCCTCCCATAGAGGGAGGGACTCAGTGCCGCTTGCTGTCATGTGGAACTTTGGGCAGAGTCCCTTCCCCTCTGACACTAGCTGTGTGACTCTAGGCAAGTCACTTATGTCTGCCTCAGTTTCCTCAGCTGTAAAATGAGAGTAACAATAATAGCACCTACCCACCAGGGTTGTTGTGGGGATCGAATGAGATGATATTTGGAAAGTGTTTAGCACAGTGCTTGGCACACGGTAGGTGCCTAATAAATGCTTATTTCCTTCCCTTCTCTGGACTTATTGCCAAAAAGAGACGTTAGCAGAGAACCTGGGAAACGGACATTTGGAGCCCTGGAGGCAACCTAATGAGTATAAGAGTTCAGGAGTTTTTGAATTGGGAGCCTGCTGCTTGTCAGAGGAAAAGCAGCCACATTGTCAAGAGGATGCTGCAGCTAAATAACTAAGGAGACCTCCCAAGAGGCTTCCTGACTTACCGGGCAGTCTGGCCCTTGTGGACATTCAGACAGTGCAGGTCTGAGGTGAAAGTGAATCATTGTTCAGCAGTATCACAGAGTTGTCTTCTCTTCCCTGTTGGGAAGAATATAAAATATGTGATGGGCTTAAAAATAAAAGTCAATCTGGCCTCAGTGATCAGTGATAGGTTGTTTCTGTCCTGACTCTGATCACAAGTGTGCAGCAGTTTGTAAGTGTCCAAACATGATGTAAATGTGAGCCCCTATCATTGCTGCATTGGGATAGCATTGGTGGTCAGCTGAATGCAGGCAGCATCTTGGGGCCTTGGTGGGCTCCGGCCCTACCACTTCAACAATTCAAAAACCATAGCACGTGCTCTGAGTGAGGCGCTCTGACCAGCCCTCAAGGGAGAGAATCCTCATCCTTAAGCCACCATATTAAGCTTAGTAACTAGAACTTTGACCTAAACATCTCTCGCCCTCAGTTTCCTCATTTGTAGATTTGGGAGTTGGTTGAGATGATGTCTGAAGTCTGATGACTGTAGTAGACGAAGGGTTGTGTGATAGTGGCTAAGTGCCAGGATGTAGTGGCCTGTTTCGTCTTTATTTTGGGGGATAAAACACAAAACTTCATTTTATAATAATAAAGGCAAATTGGGACTTCTGTTTCTAAGCATAAGGTGACCAGGAATGGGTTGCTTAACATATTTCTGTGGTGCTGTAAGATTTACAAGAGCTTTCCACTGCCCCAGTGAAGTGAGTACTGCAAGTGTGATCATTTTGCTGATGGGGAAACTGAGACCAGAGAAGTGAAATGAGTCCTATTTGTCCAGGGTAACCAAGGTAGTATATGTCAGAGCCTGGTTTGGGATCCCCAGCTCTCTCACCAGGGGAGACAGATAATATGATGGCTATAGCTTGGCATTTTGCCTCAATGCTGGCTTTAAATTCCAGCTTGCTACTTACCACTGTGTGGTCTTGGGCAATTCAGCAGTGGCTTAGTTCAAGCATATATTAAGCTTACGGTAGTAAAAGATAAAATATGCTTATATTATACAATATACTGTGTGCAAGGCTTTGAGACTTCATGGAATAGTAGATAAAGAGCCAGTTTTGGAATCAGAAAGACATGGATTCAAGTCCTACCTCTTAGAAAATAGCAACTCTGTCCCAGGGTTCTCCTAGACCATTCACTAAGCGGCAGAGAAGATACTGATGGGCAGTTTTAGAGGGAGTCTTATTATCTAGAGTTCCCTACACCAATGAAATCAGAGATTTGGTGCCATCCCCATCCCATGTGTTGGGAGGGAACTGCTGAACAGTAGGGATAGAAAAACAAGTGAGGCTTGTCCTCTGTGAATATAACATTCTTTGGTGGGGGGCGGAGATGCAACATTGAAACAAATGCGGTAGCTCTTAGGAAAGGGATGACACTGACAGGGGATCAGGAAAGGCTTCTTACAGCAAGTAGAACCTTGATGAAAGCTAAGAATTTTAAGAACAGAGGTGAGGAGGAAGAGAAAGCAGCCTAGGGATCGATGGGGACCAGCCTGGCCCAAAGGCATGCAGGCAGGAAAAGGAATACTAAATTTCTCAAATACCCATATCAGCCACTTTGGCTGTAGTAGAGAGAGTTTGAAGTGAGGAGTGATTTAAGAAAAGTGTCCAAAGGTAAATTGAAGCCTGATTTTTGGGGTCTTTAATGTAAGTGATGGAGTTTGTATTTCATCTCGAGGCTTGGGGATTCTTGAGTAGGGTAGTGGGTTGGCCAAGCCTGGGCTTTAATAGTGTTCCTAAAAACAAAATAATCAAAAAGTAACCCTGCAGCCACATAGAGGGTGAATTGGAGGAGGGACTAGAAGCAGAAGATTTGTAGAAGGCTGTGGGCAGAAAAGGGCCTGAGCTAGGGTGATGGCTATGTGAGTGGTACTGTGAAGGTAGAATTGATGAGACTTGGCATCTCATGGGATGTGAGGTGGAAGGAGCTGGAAGAGTGGAGGCTGTGAACCTGGGTGTTTTAAGGGTATTAATGCCCTCAACAGAAATAGGGAAATTTGGAGGAGGGCTAAGTTTATTGAGGAAGTTAATGAATTCTGTCTGAAGGTTTTCACTTGGAGAAACTTATGGGATGTTGGGGGGGTAAATGCCCAGCATGCAGTCAGTGATGCCAGTTTAGGGGTTAAGAAACCAGAAAGGGCAAGCTGCTTAGCTTTTCTGAGCCTCAGGTCCTCATTTGTAAAAAGAGCTGTGTCCTAGATGATCTCTAAGGACCCTTCTGCCTCTGAGATTTAGAATCTTGGGTGGTTGGAGCTTCTACCCTGCTTCTTTCTGTTTGCCTTGGCTTCTGGTTGCTTCATTGATCTGTCCTCTAGTACAGAGGGACAGATCTGAGAAGGAAACTTGCCTCTGACCTAATCCTTGGTGATTGTATTGCCTCTTGATCCATTCTCTTCTCCCTCCTCCTCATGCCACTCTGTATGGGATCCATTCAGATATTATCCCACTGGCTTATGTGTACTGCCCACATTGCCTTTTCTGACAGGCTGTCACTCCCTCAGCCATGTGAACTAGAAATGCCTGTCAGGATGAAAATGGCACCTCCAGTCTGTGCCACTTGAGAGCCTTCTTTGCTGAGGTGAACGGGAGCAGACATACTCCCCACTAACTGTGCTGGAGCAGGACATTTCCTAGGGTGGAAGGCTGACCTTTTGTGGTGGATGCTTCTTACCACAGTGCTGCAAAGAGGGTTAACATGCATGAACATTGACTGTATTGTTGGAAACATCTCGTAACTGACTGGTGAGAATGAATCAATGACTGAAAAAGTTATATTAAGCACTTATATTGTATATACAAATAAGGGGGGCGAAGGGCCCTCAGTGAACTTACCTTCCAATAGAGCAGGCCTGCACGTGGCCTGTGAACATGCCAAAGGATTTCAGGTGCCTGTGAAAAATGTAGAGGAAAACATCTACATTTTTTTCAGGCCACCCGAAATCCTTTGGTGGGCTACAGGTTGTGCAGGCCTGCAAGAGAGGGAAGCAGCCCATCCAGGAGGGTTCAGAAGGTAAACCCTAGTGGTCTCCTTGGCAAGGAATCATCTCTTTATTGAGAATTTGGTCACCTGCCCTCAGGTATTCCTGGCACCAAACACTGGGTTTCACTTTGTTTTTAATAACCTTGAGGACAGAAGAGTAATTATACAAATTTTTTAAAAATACACATTTCTGTAATACTTTAAGGTTTCTTTACAATACCTTATGGGGCAAGTAGTACAAATGTCATTATCCACATTTTAAAGAGGAAATTCTGGTGCTTACAGGTTGTAACTTGCCCAAGATCATATAATATTAGAGCTGAGATTTGATCCCAGCTTCCCTGAATCCAAATCTTCTCTGTCACTTTGTCATTTTGCCAGCCTAAGTGGAGCTGGAAAGGACCTCCCTCTCCTTTGAGGTTAAGGAAATTGTGTCCCACAGAGGTTATGATTTGCCTGAGTTTACATTGATGTAACAGTGCTAGGATTCTAACTTGGGTCTTCTGCCTCCAAATATAGTTTGAAACACTTATTACCTTTGTGCTCAACACTGTACTAAGTGATAGGAGAAAAGTGCAGTGACAGTGCTCTGCAAACTTGAATGCTATATACAGTTATCCCTTCACATCGAGACTTACCCCCTCAAGGTTTCACTATGTTGTGCGTTAGCATAAGAAGTTATGTTTTGTGGAAATTGCAGATGACATGTGAAGGCCAGTGGACAACACAGAAAAAATTTAGAAACTCAGAAATGCATAAAATATTTGTATAGCATTGTATAATATAAGCATATTTTATCTTTTCATACCGTAATTATTCAGATTTGAATAATTCCTTGGTGTGGAAGGAGGGCCATAACATTTTACACAGATTTTCCAGATGGGGGGGGAGAAGGGAAGGGGGATGTGTAAACTCCCTAGATGTTGAAAGGATAATTGTAAATGTTGTTATTGTTGTTATACCAAGACAAAACAGAAGTCTGACCACCAGAAGCTTACATTCATTCTATTGAAGAAGCCAACATTTATGCACATATGAGATGTAGACAAAGAAAAGTAAGGTAATTTGAAGTCAGGAGTAAAGCACTAGCAGCTTGAGCCATTGGTAAGACCCTCCCGAAGAGGAGAGAAACTAGGGATTGTAGAGGTTAGGCAGGAGTGCATTCCAGGCATGGAGAAAGGCCTATGCAAAGGCTTGGAGATGGGACCGGACAGTGTCATGAGTGCAATAAGAAGATGGTTAATTTGGTTGAGCCAAAGAATATTCAAAGGTGGATCATAGGGAATGAGGCTGAAAAGCCTAAAGCCAAGTTGCAAAAAGCTTAAAATACCAAACAGAGCCTGTGTTTGGTCCTGTACACAATAGGGAGTCACTGGAACTTATTGAGCTGGGGAGTGACACGAGTAGAGCTTCGTGGTAGGAGTATATCACTTTTTTAGGCAATTGGGGTTAAGTGACTTGCCCAGGGTTATACAGCTAGTAAGTGTCAAGTGTTTGGTCTGAGGCCAGATTTGAACTCATGTCCTCCTGACTTCAGGGCCGGTGCTCTATCCACTGTGCCCCCTACCCGCCCTAGGAGTATATCACTCTGGCAGTTTCACGTAGAAGGTGGCTATAATGTGCCCAACTCTGTACCTCAGTCTCAGATAACAAAAAAAAAGTCAGTTGTATCTTTGTATCAAGTGCTCACAGTTTAGTTGGAGAAAACAAACACAGGTGAAATAACAATAAAGTCTCCAAGTAGTTTGACAACAGTAGCATAGGGGCTTGCACATAGTAGGTACTTAGTAAATGTTTGTGGAATTTAACTGAAGTCTGAATGCAGTCTTAGAATTAAGAAGTTAAGATGAGTCAGAGATCACAGAAGGTAGATAGGTAAGGTCAGGAAAGCCCTAACCATGGATGACAGGACTGAACCGAATTAAAAGGGCAGCTAGGGCCCAGTGGATAGAGTGCTGGGCCTGGAGTCAGGAAGACATGAGTTCAAATCCAGCCTCAGACACTTACTAGCAGTGTGCTCCTGGGCAAGTCACTTAACCCTGTTTGCTTCAGTTTGCTCATCTGTCAAATGAGCTGGAGAAGGAAATGGCAAAACTCCAGTGTCTTTACCAAGAAAACCCCAAATGGGATCAGGAAGAGTCAGACATGACTGAAAACAACTAAACAACAGCAACAAAGAATAAGTGGCATCCTGGATCAGGGCTGAACTACAAGTTTTTGGTCACCAGGAATGGCCACACTGCCATTGTCATAAGAGTCTGTGTCTGTCTCTTTTTCTCTCTCCCTTTCTTCTTCTCTCCTCACCTCTCTTCCTCATCAGTTCTGTCTCCAGCATCTCTTCAATCCATCCCCTTTTCTCATCTGCACAGCTACCACTGCAGTTCTGATGTTCATCACTGTTCACCAGGACTTCCAAAGCTCCCCCGCTTCCGTTATGTCGCATCTCCAATCTGTCACACATAATCTTCCTAAAACACAGGTATAACCACGTTGCTTCCCTAAGAATCATCAGTGGCTCTCTATTGCCATATATAGCCTGACTCTATTGCCTTTCCGGACTAATTATTTCAAGTTCATTCCCATGAGTCCTCTCTACTCTGCTTGCCACACTGGCCCATTTGTTTATTCCCTAAACTCAGCATTCCCTCCCCTGCTTTGCCTTTGCATGGGCTCTCCTGAATACTTGGAGTGTAATCTCTCCTCACATCTGCCTCTTAGAATACATTCATTAAAATCCTTAGCTTCCTTTATGGTTCTAGGGTTCAATTCAGATAATTCCTCACATATAGTAGGGGTTTAACAAATGTTTTTTGAGTTGGATTAAATAAAGGAGTATTATTATGCGTTTTGTATCACAGCCCTAAATGGAAAGCCTCTCTTATAAGCCATTGCTTATCTCTTTCACTCAATTGAATGAGCATTTATTAATTACCTGCTTATGGGAACCTAAATAAGGGCTGCTGGGCTGGGCCTACAAAGATGGCGTGAAAAATTTTCCCTACCCTCAAAGTCATCATATGTGGAAATGCACAGCTTGAGTTGCAAAGTAATGTGATTGTCCTCTTTAAACTACTGAAGAAAATGCCCACCTGGCTTTGTGCCATGAGCTGTGGTGCAGCAGGGATAAAACGTGGATTTAGTCCCATCCAAAATGAGAAGCCCTGCTTCCTGCTCCACGAGGTTGTTAGTGGTAATCCATTTCCCCAAAATTTAAGATTATTTCCTCCAGGTGGTCAGATTCTATCTGCTTCAGAAGTCACTCCAGTGATGGTTAGATAAACAACCAGTAGTGGAATGAGCGATGATTTCAGAATGATTGTGAACTCCTGCATTGTGTTTAGTCTTCTGATGCTTCTTACATATGTATGGCCTAATAAGATATATACCTTCACAAGGTCTCAAGAGGTTGAGCAATGAGGGTGAGGGAGACAAGATGTAAATCTAGTTCTGGGTGAGGAGTCAATTGGAAAGCAACAAGAAAAGTTGTATGAGAGCATATAGATGTCTGATTTTGATCACACAGGACAGGACCTTGGTGGTCATTTAGTCTAACAACTCCCTCATTTTACAGATGAAGAACAGGAGGCCCAGAGAGGTCAAGTGACTTGCCTAGGGTTACACCACTATTAAAAGTCTGAGGCATGATTTAAACCCAGGTCTTGTGACTCCTAGTCCAGTGCTCTATCCACCACCCACCATGCTGCTAATAAGTCTAGACCACCTCTACTAAATCCTCAAATAAAATTATACTTGTTTGACTTTCCTTCCAATCAATTTGGTATTTGAGGCAACTTGGTTTGGGATTCTGAGGCTGTTCTTACATCTTGGAAACTTCTCTGTGTTTTTGCTATAGATTAATATATTCTGGTAGTCTTTAGTGGTTTCCTGACCTCTTTGTTGTTGTGTTTTATTTACAGGTATTTTCCTTACTTGTGGAAGTATTATAACATAGCATTCCTTTGTTGTTCTTCCAGATTCCATTAAGAATTACACCAAGTAAGTTAGCTGGAGAGGAATTCTTCCTCATTTTTACAGCAGTTTTGGTAAATGTGATGTTTTCATATTGATAGTCCCAGCATCGAATGGTTTCTACAGGGACTGCCTAGATCACCAGTAGAATGCTGAATATGACTTCACAGTTGAGCAAAAGAATTTTCTCTAGAACAACTTTGTATTCCCTCTAGTTCTAGGAACCAGGAATCATTGCAGATTGGCTCTAGTCATTTTGAGGGAAATGTTAGATGAGTTTGGAGTCTGCAGTAAAAATTCCAGATTGTAGGAGCTGTATCTGTGGAGTTCTTTGTGTAATGACTAATGCAGCGTCATAGGCTTAGGTTGTTTTTTTTAGTAGATTTGGTGATTTTTATTGAGTTTGAGGGTTTACAACAAATTAAAAGCACTCTTTAATTATAACAGATAAACATTTTGATATAATAATTTGTAGTTATCAGAAGTAGTTTTAACATATATATAATATATGTATATAGAGAGAGAGAGAGAGAGCGAGAGAGACTGAGAGAGTATTTCCCACCCAAACTAAGAAATAAAACTGCAACCAATATCCTAATTCAATGCTTGGAAAATAAATACAAAATATAAGTAAAAACAATTTTATGTGCTTCTTTTATGAAATAGGTTATCAGTTGGCCCATAGTTTCTAAGTCTCATTTCCTTTTTTAAAAATTGCATGGTGGCAAAGAATTTTTGTTTGAACGTTAGCTAGTTTTCATCAATTCCCTGTTTCAATTAAATTATTTTCATTTACTTTTAGATTGAAAAGATATGAATGAACATCCTAAAAAAAGAAAAAGGAAGACTCTACACCCTTCTCGTTATTCAGGTCAATATGTAATTTATTTTAAATTTTATTTATGAATTAATTCAATTTTCCTATAAAATTTTATCCTGGTCTCTGTTGAAATTAGATAAAGGTTGTTAGATAAACGTTGAAATACAGACAATGATTTGTGTTATTTATCTGAATGTTTATAGTGTAATTCAAACAATAAGTTGTTCACCTATTGTATATATGTATGTATATATTCTTGCAGATCAGTGTTTCTTTTTCCCATCAATAGAAGATATTTTGAAAGCCAAATACTTTTATTTCATCCTAGGAGATAACACAGTCCTGTGTCAGTTATTTTAATAAGCTAAACTCTTTTGTTGATTGTGTAATTTTGGCTCCTGTGGTTTAATTTGTTCCTGTACTGAATAAGCAAGGAGTGACATAATGACCAGGATGATTTGGTCTCTTTGGTATGTGGACAGTAGCATCCCTCACTCGTTTCTTCATATGTTGCTGTGTGTGATAGGCTCAGGCCTATTAATTGAATCTGAATAACCCCAGCACTCTTTATCACTGGAGCAATACCTCTCTTCTGTTGTTTCCACATCACCTAAGTACTCAGGGCAGAATTGGGAGGCCTCAAAGAGCCTTCCATCCCCTGAGCTGATCCTCAAGGTGATCCCTACCCATGTAAGCAGAGGACTTAAGGAAGCTCTGAGGGGCTTCAGGTCTTCTTTGTAGTGAATTCAGCTCACCATGTAGTAGCTAAGCCTTCTCTGGTACATTTATTTGTAGGCTGCAGATCCAAGTAAAAGGCAAATGTATTTTAATGGTATTTTACTCTTTTTTTTTTTTCCAATCCCCTATGTGAACCTTGATTAGGAATACTAGAGTTGATGAGTTGAACAAATATCTAAGGAAAATAGTAATTTTTTTTTAAGTTTACAGATTACTTGGCATGGATGTAACATGGATACATCATTTTTGTTTGTATACAGATTCTACTGGAATAACCAAAATTGCAGATGGGTTCAATGGAATTTTCTCTGATCATTGTTACAGCGTCTGTTCTATGAGACAGCCAGATTTAAAATATTTTGAGAACAAAGGTAAACATTTGAAGCGTATTTTAACTGAAATATATTTAAAGCCCATGTAAATGTTTCCCTTTCTCACTTGACTTGAAAATGTGAATGAGAGTATTGGTTGAGATAATTCCAATGAATTGAAATTTTAAAAATTGATCTTAAATACATACATAAAAATCTCACCTGACCCCTTGACCAGTTGCCCAGTGACTGAGTTGCAAAGGCACAGAGTGGATGTGGGTCCTGGTGAATTACTCTTCCACTTGTTCTCCTCCCCCACCTCTCAGCTTCTTGCTTCATTGTGTGAGCCTGAGGGAGCAATGAGAGTGTCATTCAGCCTTCTCAGAGCACGGCCTCAGTGGTCTTGGGTTGTTCCTTTTGACTTCTGCTTCCCAAGTCTTTATTATTCACTGTTGAAACTTCAGCAGAAAAAAAACAAAACAGTTCTGGGCTACAGCCTCACATTTCTATCCCTAGATCTGGAGACTTTTAGATCAGGATGGAACTTGAGAGATCTAGTCCATCCCACACCCTTTTTACAGATGAGGAAACTGAGGGTCACTGAGATTGAGGGATTTAGCTCTGGTCACTTTAAAAAGTATGGGCAGCTAGGTGGTGCAGTGGATAGAGTGCTGGGCCTGGAGTCAGGAAGACTTGACTTCCTCTTGAGTTCAAAACTGGCCTCAGTCACTTAACCCTCTCTGCATCAGTTTCCTCATCTGTAAAATGAGCTGGAGAAGGAGATGGTGAGCCACTCCAGTGTTTTTGCCAAGAAAACCCCACATGAGGCCATGAAGAATCAGACATGATTGAAATGACTGAACAACAACAACATAAAAAGGTAGCTTCACAGGTTTATCTGATGCCCAGACCCACTGTCTTGCCGGTACACTGTGCCCCAGTCTGCACCTGTGATTTCATTAGTAAGAGCACAGTGAGGAAATTCACTCCTCTTGTACAAGTCTCCACTCTTCTGCAGTGTGGGGTTGTGGAGAACTTCTGGGGGCCCTGAGAGGTTCAGTGACTTCCTCAAGGCCACCCAGCCAGAGAGTGTCAAGGCAGGCCTTCTTCACCATGCCTGCTTCACATTGATTATGTCCTGCTGCCCTAATCTGGATGGCTGTAACCTATTCCAGCCTCAAAATTTAGGGACTGGAGAGGAAAGATGTACGTCAGGCTCATGGATTGAGTAGAGCATCCCTGTGTGCCATGGAAAACAATGCAGTTCAGTACCTTTTCTATGGAGAGATGGAGGGAGGAACAAAGGGGGAGAGAGAGAATATCAGTCTCTTTTCATGTGTACTGATGAATCCTCACAATGTATCTACTTTAACGCTTTAAATCCTTTGTAAGAAAATTAATCCTTGAACATGTTCTGATGTAAATTACAGCTCTCCCATTTCCTTTTTCCAGATGAAGATTCTGACACAGAGCCGTCGAATGACTTGCCTAAATTCCCAGAAGGGATTAAAGCAAGGAGCAGAACTCAGAACCACCTGGTTCCCAGTCCTGTGCTCAGGATTCTCAATCATGCTGCCTTCTCCGCAGGTTAGGAAAAGTCACCGTTTTTTCATTTTCCAGGTGGCTTGTTGTATTTTTCTCACTGTTTTGTCTTCCTCTTTTAGACAAATCTGCAGATATTGAAATCTGTGAGGAATGTGACTCTCCGGAGTCGCTTCGCCAGCAGCCTCGTGAGGAGAGCCCTATCGAAGTGCGCACAGCTGAAGACGTGCCCATTGCTGCCGAGGTGCACGCCGTCTCCGAGGACTACGACGTCGAGACCGAAAACTTGTCCTCAGAGAGCCTTCAGGACCAAGTCGACGAGGAGCCCCCTGCTAAGCTGTGCAAAATTCTGGACAAGAGCCAAGCTTTGAATGTCACTGCTCAGCAGAAGTGGCCTTTACTGAGAGCGAACAGCAGCGGCCTCTACAAGTGTGAGCTGTGTGAATTCAACAGCAAGTACTTCTCTGACTTAAAGCAGCATGTGGTCCTCAAGCACAAGCGCACCGAGGCCAACGTCTGCAGAGTCTGCAAAGAGTCTTTCTCCACCAACATGCTTCTGCTCGAGCACGCCAAGCTGCACGAGGAGGATCCCTACCTGTGCAAATACTGCGATTACCGAACCGTGCTCCTGGAGAGCCTGAGCCAGCACATCGCCGACACCCACTTCAGCGACCACCTGTACTGGTGCGAGCAGTGCGACCTGCAGTTCTCCTCCAGCAGCGAGCTCTACCTGCACTTCCAGGAGCACAGCTGCGATGAGCAGTACCTGTGCCAGTTCTGTGAGCACGAGACCAACGACCCCGAGGACCTGCACAGCCACGTGGTCAACGAGCACGCCTGCAGGCTGATGGAGCTGAGCGACAAGGAGAGCGGCGGTGGTGAGCACGGCCACTACAGCCTGCTGGGCAGGATCACCTTTGACAAGTGCAAGAACTTCTTCGTCTGTCAGGTGTGTGGCTTTCGAAGTCGACTGCATACAAATGTCAACAGGCACGTGGCCATCGAGCACACAAAAATTTTCCCCCATGTTTGTGATGACTGTGGGAAGGGCTTCTCAAGCATGTTAGAATACTGCAAACATTTAAATTCCCATTTGTCTGAGGGGATTTATTTATGTCAATACTGTGAATATTCAACAGGACAGATTGAAGATCTTAAAACTCATCTAGATTTCAGGCATGCAGCTGACTTACCTCATAAATGTAATGACTGCTTAATGAGGTTTGGGAATGAGAGGGAACTTTTAAGTCACCTTACAATCCATGAGACAGCTTGATTGTTTTTTATCTTAATTTGCAGAGTCTTGGTGTAAAGTAATAAATTCATCTTTTATTAGAGAGTCTACAGTTGATGGTTTTAATAATGATACCGATGAGGGTTATAGGCAGCCTTATTTATTTATTTATTTATGTTGGCATTGAGGGTTTTTTCTGGCTTTAGAGTGTAGACTTTTCAGCCTGTGAGGGCATCTTAAACGTGCTGCTGTCGGTTTTGTCCTCTGAGATTCTGGGTTGCCGGCCAATGCCCTGTGCTCTTAGGTATCAAGGAGAGGCAGGAAATGGGAAGCTTGGGGTAGAAAGATAAATAAGCTATTATTATCCTTTAATAACTTTAACTGCTCAGACTTTGTGAAAATACAAAAGTAAACATAGTTGTTCAGTTATCAAGCATTTCTATTGTAAGAAGTCGTCCAAGTACCTAAGTACAAGAGGGAAAGGCAGGATAGAGGTATTCTGCATGTGCACGCGTATGTGCACATGTGCTCACTTCTATGTGTACTTGTGTGTGTATATGTATGTATGTACATACCTGTGTATATAATTAAGCTATTTCTAGGATGAGGACCCAGACCTTCTATTTACTCTCCCCTTCAGCCATCATTCCCAAGTCATTCAGGCATCCCTTCTATCTAAATCTAAAATTATAGAAATGCTCTTAGCTGTGGTGGTAAAAAATTATTCTCTTTACTTGGTAGTTTCTTTAAAAAAAAAAAAAATCACATCCTTCTGTCCCATCCCCCAGACTAAATTAGTTTTGAAAAGCTGGTATATGATAAAGTTTTTTTGTTTTGTTTTTGTTTGGTTGGGGGGTTCATTTGTTTTGGTCCTGACCTCTAATTTTAACAGGGTAGAAGAGAGTGTGGAAAATTTTAAGCAGTACCAAGACATACGCTAAAACCCTCGAATAGCGTAAGTGTGACACTACTTGATGTGAAATGAAAAAAGTTTCGAAAAAGATTGCAAATGTACTTAATTGGAGCTCGTAAATATTTGGCTGAGTGATGAGTAAACCAAACAAATGTATTTCATGGTCTTCAAGTTCAACATTGTTGCATTTCATACAGCCTATAGTTTTTCCACACCATGGTTGGCTCTTGGCTGTCAAAGTCTTTCACAATCCAACTCCATTTCTCATTGGTTTCCACCTTTGTAATGTGTCTTCTGGTTTCATCATATTTGGTACGCCTATTTTCCCACCTCCAGTTGCAAAATCCCAATATCCCAGTGGCTTCTTAGGATCAGGGACATGGCATTTCAGAACGTTAGAGTTAAATCGCTACCTTGGAGAGCACTGAACCAAGCCCGTTCATGCTGTATTTCTTAGCCCAAGAAAAGTAAAGTGATTGACTCAGTCACACAGCAACTAAATGGCAAGATCTGGCCCAGAATCTGGGTTTCTTGCTGTGTTTTCTCATGTTTTTTGCTCCTCCCACCTAACTTTTCATTAGTTTTGGTACCTTGGCTTCATCCATCTACCATGCATGTCCAGCCCAATGGAACTGAGCTGTAGGGAGCAGAGCTTTAAAAATGGTCATGATAATTAATGCTTCATATTTTTGCATAGTGCATTTTGGTCACAGACTATGACTGTTGGTTATCAAGTACTTGACACTGAATAAGTGAAGATTAGGTAGGTGAACCCAATGGAAAAGTCCTAAGAAGTATGAGTAAATCTGTATTACACACTTTCTGATGAGCCTAGAATTGAGGTCGACGGTAAACTGCTGACATAGTCTAAGACGCATTAGTTGCTTTCAGGTCTATAGTTTTCAGTTAGTGAAATTATTTGGAAAACCATGCTTCTCTTCATTTCCCCCCTAAATGCAGACCTAATTTTTACTGTGTCACTTATTCCTTGGCCACGTTTATATTCCAGGGGCACGTGGCTGATCATGCTTTATTGAAGTCAATACAAAAGAATTCTAACAGGATTCTTGGCAGCAGAGGAGAGCAATGTGATGCCTGCCTAAAGAGAACTTGGCGTAGCGTTCTCACTCTCTCTTTTCCACAGTGAAATAGTTGGGTTTTTTTGAAGAGACATTATTTTTTAAATTACAAGGGACTTCTCCTCTGCTCTGTGAGTGGAGGAAAAGCCCTTCATAGGTCAGTTTTTAAGTTAGCCAGGTAGGTTGTCAGGTCTCAGTTCTGACTATTGTTGATGACTGAATCACCAAATCCTGGTGAGTTTCTTCATTCTCTGGCTTTTTTCAGAAGATGCTTTAATAATGTAGGTAGTAGATGACAGGCATATCAACATACTATTTTTTTAAGCATCACACAAAAATATAATAGAAAAAATAGTCTTATTAAACCACACATTTCTTCATTTTAGCATTCTATCTTCAGTCATGTGATAAAATATGATAAGGGGCTTGATGTGTCTATTTTATATCAGCCTTCCATGAGATTCTCTCTTGGTTACTGAAGAGTTTGCAAAGTATGTTTCACATTTGGCTACAACAGTAGCTTCTGGCTACTATGCATGCTGAACTGCTACTATTAATGAAAAAAGTTTGATTCACATACCTCCAAGACTTTGGTGATATGTAAATTATATATCCTTTTTTTTTAAGTAATAGAAATAAAAGATCTTTAGAAATCAAAATTAGATTCTAGACAAAGAAAAGACTGATCATGGTCGTATTTTCTGGTTGTTGCCAAGTTTAACAATCTAAGAGTATTTGCTGTGTCAGTATTTACCTCCAGTTACATTCCCGCACCCTCTATGCCCCCTCCCCTGCACTAAATGTCCATGTGCATCCCCAATAATTGTCACATATGTAGAAATGAAACTAGACTTAACAGTTTTAAATTTTCTCACTGTTAGCTCTTAATTTCAGTTCCAGTGAGTGAATCTCTTGAGAATTATAAGAGTGTGAATTATAGGGGTGAAAATTAAATACATTTTCATAACTTTTGTATTTTAAAATTCTGCCTCATCTTTACTTACATTTCATGTAAAATTTTTTATATTACCACAGTTTGCTGTTTGAAAAACTCTTAATCCAAGAGTAAGAGAACTAAAGAAAGCGCATCGTGGTAATTACAGAGCAGAAATGGCAGCCAAAAAGCTTGTAAATTTTCTATTGTGGTGAATGTATTTATTAAACAGGAAATTTTTATATAAATCCATATTTAAAGTATTTATACTGTGATATTGTCTTGTTAATATAAAGTTACAAAATGAACATATGCTCATAATACTTAATGTTTAAAAAAAGTTGATTTTATTCTTTTATTCATTGAGTCTGGGGGTATGATTTTCTTTATATCAATGATCCTCCATTGGGTATAAAAGAATTTTCTGAATAGTGAATTCCAACATGGAAATACCATGAAGTATTTTTGATGATGACATCCTCTTCTGAAAAATACTATTAATATAAAAGTATTGGAAGCCTGAATAGAAGGAAACAACAATACTTATTTTTTTATTTCCTCTGAAGTATAAAAATAGGAATTATGAAAAACGAATATTTAAATGTTGTGATTTTTAAATTACAGCTTTAATTGATGATTAGAAACTTTGTTAAGTTTGTCTCAGCATACTAAGATTGTATAATTTTAAAATAAAATATCCTTAACCCCAAATAAATCACAGAACCCAAAGCAACCACTGTGAATTAAAAAAATAAATCTTTTGAACAATGATTGTTAGCTAAGTGTATCAGAATATAATCATCTCATTTATAATTTGAAAAATAAGCACCAATGATTTCTTAAGGGAATTTTCAACATAATAAGCTGTTACAAAGTAATAAAAAGAGGCAAATGATTTCAAGCTGTCATGGTGTGGGTAGGGCAATGAACCTGGAGCCAGAAGACTTGAGAGCCTGGCTGTTACTTGTCCCCCTATGATTCTGAGCAATTCAACCTTTTTAAGCCTCAGGTATCTTTGTAAGATGAAAGAGATTAGATGATCTGTAAGGCCCCCACCACTTGCCTCTTCCTATGACCTGATAATCTTTGTAAGACTCAAAGATTCAGATGAAAAAGACTGTAACCTCATATCATGTATGATAAGGTGTAGTATAAAAGAGCTAGTTGTCTGTTTTCATGAATATCATTCAGAATCCGTTGACTCCTAATCTTCATCTTACAAACCAGTTGGTATCAACCAGTAAAAACAATTTCTGTAAAATATTTTTTGCATTTCTTCCTATTCTTAGATTTAGAATGCTGATGAGTAGAGTAGCTGGAATCACCTTGAGCAAACCTGATTTTGTGATTGGTCATTTTAACCATGTGCTTCACAAAGCCCTTTCTCTAACAGGTGGCCTGGGCCTCCTTAGCCTACTTGTCCAGTCCTCTTTCCAAGGCTTTCCCATGTACTTTGTTCAGTTTTATTTATTCACTACCCTGTTGTCCATCCCACTCATTTTACCAGACTATAACCTACACCTTAAAATCTTATGACTTTCAACTCGAGCTCTCTCTCAACCATCTTTTTAAGAATTTCAGAAATTTTCCAGAAAGCCAAAAGCATTTCCTAATGACTGGTTGTCATTTTTGAATTTGAAATATTTTAAAAGTTGATTCCTCCCTCCATTTTCTGAACCTCATTCACTTTGTACCCTATACCATGCCAAAGACACTTGACTTGTATATTACGTAAATGCATACAGTATTACACATGTGTGTATATAAATATATATGATGCCTGTACAGTTTTGCCCTGCCATGTTTGGATATGTCAAATGTGTTTATTTTAGCTTGTGAGTAGTGGGCTAATTTGTTAAGTAGACAAAAGATTACCATGCAAATCTTAATAAATACTTTTAAATGATGAGATGTAATGATTAAATTACTTCCAATCAAAACTCAAAGATCTTTTGACATATAGTTGGCATCTTCATGCATAGCTATATTTCTTTGTTCTCATGCCTGCCTGTTCTTTCACACTCTCTTTGCTGGATCTTCCTCTAGTAGGTTGCCCCTCTGGGCCCTCTTCACTTCTCCCTCAATGCTCTTTTACTTGTTAATCTCATGAGCACTCAAGGATTAAATTAACTTTATGCAGATGATTTTTAGTTCTGTGTACCCCACCCTAGTCTCTCCAGATTTTTATTATCACCAATTTCCTTTTGGTGATATAAATTAGTAAGAATAAGAGCCATTCCCCTATTAATACATAGTCTAAGGATATGAACTGGCATTTCCAAAGAGAAGAAATCCAGGTATATCTATAGCCACATGAAAAAAAAAATGCTCCAAATCACTAATTATGAAACACAAATTTAAGCAATTCTGAGTTTCCACCAACACCCATCAGATTGGCAAGGATGATGAAAAAAGGAAAATGACAAATATTGAAGGGGCCGTGAAAAAAACAAATAGCATTGATGCATTGGTGGCAAACCTGTAAATAGAACCATTCTGGCAAACAATTAAGAATTAGTCAATAAGCATTTATTAAGCACCTACTATATGTTAGATGCTATATGAAGCACTGGGGATACAAAGAAAGGTAGAAGACAGTGCCCTTGAGGAGTTCACAATTTAATGGGGGAGATAATGTGCAAAAATATGTACAAACAAGCTATGTACAAGATAAATAGGAAATAGTCAACAGAGGAAAGGCATTAGAATTAAGAGGGATTGAGAAAGGAATTCTACAGTTACTAAACAGCGTATGTCCTTTGACCTAGCTCTACCACTGCTCGGCTTATACCCAAAAGAGATCAAAGAGAAAAAGGTCCTTTGTGCACAAAAATATCGATAGCAACTTTTCTTGTGGTGGCAAAAAAAACCAAACTGGAAACTAAGGGATTGTCCATTAGTTAGAAAATTACTGAACAAATTACATATGAATGTGATGGAATACTGGAATGGAAATGTGGTCTAAGAAATGAGGACATAGATGATTTCAAAGAGACATGAAAACACATTTGTGAACTGATTCTGAGGGTAGTGAGCAGAACAAGAACAATTTGTGCAAAAATAATGTTGTAAACTTTGAAAGATATAAGAACTCTGATCAATACTATGAACATCCATGTTTCCAGAGGCCCAATAATAAAACATACTATCTACCTTGAGACAAAAAGGTGATGGATTCAGGTCTAGAGTGAGGTTTTGTTTTTGTTTTTGGAACACGGGCAATAAAGGTGTATTTATCTTGTTTGAACAAACATAAAATTGTTATGAGGAATTTGTTTTTTCTTTTCCAATGGAGTAGGCTGTAGAAGTAATGAAAATAGATTTCTGTTAATTAAAAGTATATAACTTAAATTTTTAAAATGTCCTGTGGGCACCTCAAGTTCAGCATGTGCAAAAAACCAAAATCAAATAAATCTCATTATCTTTCTTTCCAAACCTGCTCCTATTTCTAAATTCCCTAGTCAAGTTGATGGCACCGCTATCCTCCCAGTCACCCACACTTGCAGCCTTGGTGTTAACCCTGACTCCTCACTTTCATACCCCCCACACATCCAGTGAGTTGCCAAGTTTCGTTGTTTCTTCCTTTACAGTATCTTTCCTAGATGTCCCATTCTCTATATTCACACAGCCACTACATCTGTGTGGTAACTCATTACCTCATTTTGGACTGTTGCAATAGTGTTATGGTTGGTCTTCCTACCTCCAGTATCTCCCCTAATTTTATTAAAACTCAAGTCTCACCATGCCCCATGTCACCTTCCATCCCCAACACACGCTCAATAAACTCCAGTGACTCCCTACTACATCTAGGACTGAATATAAAATCCTCTATTTACCATATAAAGCCCTCTTCTCCTCACCAGTCTTCTTACACCTTATTCCCCATCATGTGCTTCTATGATCCAGCAACACTGGTTACCTTGCTATTCCTCCTAGATGGCACTCCATTGCCCAATTCTGTGCCTTGTCACTGGCTCACACACTCCTGGAATGCTCTCCCTCCCCACCTCTGCCTTCCAGATTCAGCTCAAATCCCACCTTTCACAGGAGGCATCTCCATGGTCTTCCTTACTTCTAGTGCCTTCATCTGATTACCTTCCATTTATCCTGTATATAGCTTGTATTACCTCATTATTTACCCATTATCACTGCCATTAGAACGGGAGCACTTTGAGGAAAGGAACTTTGTTTTTGCCTTTGTTTGTATTCCTAGCACTTAGCATAGTGTCTGGCAGTGGTAGGTGCTTAACAAATGTTTGGTGACTGTGTTAACATGCAAGAACAATGAACAAAAGTATACATGAGGGAAGAAGCCAGTTCACAAGAATGGGAACTTACTGTTTCTCCATTTCTCTTAAAGGGAAAATCAACTTTGAAAAATGTATTTTATCACAAAATAAATTTTGTTGCTTATAAGAGGCAGCATGGTATAAAAGAAGGCACGTCCAACTGGAAGACTTTGAATTCTGGCTCCACCACTCATTGGTTCTATGACCATGAGCTGGTTCTTTGACCTCTATGAGTCTGCTCCTTCCAACTGTGACATATGAGAAGTTTAAAAGGCATAATTTCTGGGTAATTAATCGTTATTTATGGCTAGCAAGTGATTAATAAAATGATGGTCATTTGGCCTTCTTTCATAAACCAAAGATGACATATAACAGGCCTCTAAATGCTTGTATGTCCTTGGAAGAGTGGGTGTTCCCAAAAGGTGTCAATCAATTCTGGTAAACCAGTGAAAGAATGAATATTATAATGAGAGGTGGGCTTATTCTAATAAGGGCCTGTGGGACATAACTCTGATCACTCAGTCTTGGACAAAGAGACTTATCTCTTCCTAGACCACCCCAGACTAGGGTAATCTAGATAAAAGGGGGAATCCACTTCCATTCAGACCTGTCTAACTAAAACATAATGGGCCAGAATTCACCAGTTCACCTAGAGTTTCTTCACCTTTTGATCAGATCTAAATGTTCCCAGTTGGCTAAGTTTTGCCCAAGATTTCATCTTACTATCAACCCTGCACTTCAAAGGCCAGCTGAATAACCTATAGGGGCTGATTTCTTAATGAAGAAATAGAAAAGGGGAAAACTTAAACCCTAATTCAATAATAGGTAATTAATATAAGAGAGAAATAGTAATTTCTCTCACCACATATGAGAATAACTGTAAAATAGAGATGATACCTGCCCTTTTCTCATAGAATTGATCTAGGGTAGTATGAGGAAGAAGGCAATGGATTTAGAAGTAAAAAAAAAAAAAAGAGTTCTAGAGCTTACCTAACCTTTACTGATTGATTGTCTGACTACAGTAGACAACTGACTTAATCTCTTACTTCAGTTTCCTTAATTGTAAAATAGAGATGATAACAATGGTACTACCCACCTCATAGGGAAACGCTGAGCTATTATTATTAATTATTATTATCCAAAGCTTAGTGCCCTCTCCTCTTTCCCTGTACTCTTAATGGACTGACCCTTTAAATACTTCTGACTTCCATGGGAGGAGGACTTGAGCAGAATGAGGATGACTGGAAATAGAGGAGGAAAAGGATCTGGGCAACAGCAGAAGTAGAAGGTGAAGGACCTGAGGAGCAGGAGGACTGGTCCCACAAGGAAGAACTTGGAACAAGGGATGGATGTTGCAAAGGGGCAAATTTAGATCTGAGATAAGAAAAAGAAAAAACTTCCTAATAATTGGAGCTAACCAAAAGTGGAATGGGCTGCCATGGGAGGTCATGGATTATTTCAATGAAGGCCTTCAAGCAAAAGATAGTTGATCACTTTAGGAGCATGTTGTAATAGGAACTCTTTTTCAGGCATGGTTTGGATTAGAATCTAATCTAACCATTAGATGGTCACTGAGGGAGGGAAGAAAGGAAAGAAGAAAGAGAAGGAAACATTCAAAGAGCACTTTGAAGTTTGCAAAGCACTTTACAAGTATTATCTTATTTGATCCTCACAACAACCCTGGGAGGTAGGTGCTATTATTATAGCCTTTTCATAGATGAGAAAACTGAGGCAGACAGAGGTCACGTGGTTCACCAAAGGTCACCCAGCTAGAAGTGAGTCAGGCTGGATTTGAATTTAGGTCTTCCTGACGATAGGCCCTTTGAACTGATGTGACTTAAGCTAAAGAAAAGTAGGAGAACATAGATAAGATGGTAAGATAAAGAGAAAGAAAAGGAAGTTGACTAGCCTGGCTATCAAGACGTTAAAAGAAGTGAGGAGAGTGAAAGCTCCAACACTGAAGACCACCACAAACAGTTTGCCATAGCAATTCTCTAGCAGATATACAAGAAAGAACCACAATGTTTGAGCATATCATTTCTTAAGATAGTTGGTTGGTTAATTATCCTTCATTTCAAAGAGGACCAAAATGACATCACTATGCTAGAGTCTAGTTTCACTGTGTCTGACTGTGACTGACCAGACCAATATGAGCCCAGAATGTTCTACCCCAGGTCAGGTACAAATAATCCTGGTGAACACTTGGGGAGAATTCTCTAAATTTGTGCATCTTGCACTTCTTCTGAGCCATTTCAATCCTGCTTTGCTCAAAGAGCACAGCACCTTCTCTGATGTGGGCACACCATGCTGAGTGGTCCTGTGCCAGCATCTCCCATGTCACATAATCAACTCCAAAGTTCCTAAGAGAGACCTTGAGAGTGTCTTTGTATTGCTTCTTCTGACCACCATGTGAATGCTTGCCCTGTGTGAGTTCTCCATAAAATAGTCTTTTTGGCAAGCATACGTTTTGCTTTGGAACAACATGGCCAGCCCCTCAAGTTGGGCTTTCTGAAGCAGAGTTTGAATGCTTGGCAGTTTAGCTCAAGAAAGGACCTCAGTGTCTGGTACCTTATCCTGCCAGGTGATCTTCAGAATCTTCCTAAGACCATTCAAATGG